CGTACCCACTGTATATATATATATATATATATATATATATAAATTGTTAAGCTATATTTTAGGATTTAAAATATATATACATACATACATACATACATACATACATACATACATAAGGGGTTCAACGGGCCGGATTTCACACAACACTGGTGAAAATTCACACCTGTCCTTATACAAAAAACTAATTATATTGACCGCAAACGTTTTCCTTGTAAGTACAGATGACTTACTGATCTCCTCTGTCTGAGTGGCAGGCAGCACCCACACTGGCCAACAACCTCCTACAGGTGGACAGCACTCTACGTCCTACAGCAGGGGGGAGTCTCATCAATTATTCACAAAAGCTTTTACAAATCTGCAGGGTCAAGACCTGACCCATTTCTGACCAACACGTGTGTTAAAACAAACGAACAAATAACAAATAAATAAAAACGTCACTGATGTTGTTTTAGGAAATTTCATTAATTCAAGATTAAATATATCATATCTGTGATGAATCTTTAATGTACATATGTGCACTACACATGTAAGTGACACTGTGCACCTATAAATATCAGTATGTACAAACATATTCAATTCATGTACTATTAAAGACAAATTGCAAGGTTGGAAAATGGCCATTCACTCACCTTGAAGTCCCCTTCCCAAAATGGACACATTGCATGTGTTGGGCAAAATGTCTGAGCCAGGAAAATGGCTGTTATAACGAATCTTATCTCTTCCAAAGACAGCCTAAAAATTTCAATGCAATAAAAAAAAATAATAATAAATACAAAAAAAAGAAATCTCTATATAAATACAGGCTACATTAATGTCCACTGAAACATTTGTACCAGTCAGCTATAAGGCAGAAACAGAACTTACAAGCAGCTTCTGCTCCAGATAACATCGGATGTCCAGGAAATGGGCTTCATACTCTGCTAGATTTGAACTTACCAATTCTGCAGCCTTTTCCCAAAAAAAAAAAAAATTATGTAAAACAAATTTGCATGTACAAGCATAGGCAACATAGCACTGAAAATAATTATTTTTTACTGTTATACGTGTACAAACAGTCACCTTACTACCATAAATAATAAATAAATCTAGTTACCCATGTTACACGTCCAAACAGTCAACTTATTCTAAAAATTAGGTAAGAAATAAATGACGCTTATGATACAAAGTGGGTTTTACCTTTCCCAGACCGGCTATCATTGCTGTATTCTCAGTTCTGAGAAATAAAGAGATAACAACAGTATTGATTTCAGAGTCAGTAACATACTTGTTTTAATTCTGTTCAATAATTCATCACCTATACATGAAAACCCATCACACAATAAACCATGTCATACCCTGGTCTGAAGTTGTGCTCTTGTCCTCCTCCAAAAAACAGAGGGTAAACTGGGGTTGTGGTTCCAGGATCATTCACAAACAAAGCGCCAATTCGAGGGCCATAAAACTGAAACACAGCATTAACAGGATTGCCATCTCTAATTTTCTTTGCTTAGAGAGAGATGATATATCAACAGCATCTCTTGTTACTTACCTTGTGTCCTACAATGGTAATATAGTCTACTCCCAGCTCATGTGCATCCACTCGTATCTTTCCGATAGCCTGTGCTGCATCGGTGTGCAGGAGGATTTTGGGAGCTGATGCTGCCCTCTGTTTGTTTACTTCCCTCACCCTCTGACAAATATCCTTAATTGGCTGTTGAAAGGAGAATCCCATTGGTTACTTTAAGTGTTTATGCTAAATCATGGCCGAAAAAACTACTTTATTTTTATTGGCAAAGCAAAAGTTAAATAGCCATACTGTGTCTACAATGTAAGTTAATCTTTATTAACATCATGTTTATGAAATGTTGTATAAAAGCAATATCACGCTCGCAATTAAGCCTCGTCCCAATGGCCAAAACACAGTTGTGTGATTGTTTAACTATATGAAATAGTCCAATACATCACTGGGACTGTTGTCAAGGCAACATTCTCACCATAATGATGCCTGTCTCATTATTGGCCAGCATGATCGACACCAAGGAGGTGGTGGGACGAATCGCTGCAATGACATCCTCAACCTCCACCCGTGCCGTAACCTTGGAAACGGGCACAAATGTGACATCTACAACGAGAATTCAATCAGGTCAAATCAGAGCACAAAGATCTTTGGTCATATTCATATTTTAAAACAGATAGTAAAGGACACGTTTTGGATGCAATATTCCCGGTTACAGGAGTACAATGAAGTGATGCCCACTTCCTCAAGCTAAACCTTTGGAGAACAATGCCTCCATTTAAAGTTTTAGACATAAAACCCAGGCCTGCTAACCTGCTTTGCCCTCTTTTAACAAGTGTTTAGCTGTGAGTTTGATGGAGTCATGCTCTACATTGGAGATGATAATATGGGGCAGGGAGCCTCTTCCATTTAGCTGCTTGCTGTTTGTGCCTCCCTCTGCCGAATTCTTGCTCTTTCTGAAGTGCTCCACAGCTGAGTGAAACACCAGATTATTGGCCTGAAAGTCCAGGAGAAAAAGAGAGCTAAATAAAGATAAAGTGAAAGTAAAGGTCCTTTCACACGACTTTCACCAGGGATTCAACGCACCTCTCATCACAAGCGGCATGCACCATTAGGACAGACACATAAAGGGTTACAGATAGTGTTACAATGTTAAAAGCTGTTCACACCAGCATGAATGTTTGGCATGATTTAGTCAGATTTTCTCATGAGATTTGTCTGTTCAGACCAATGCATCAAAAAAAAAAAAAAGGCAGACGGGTTGAAGGAAAATGCAGATTCACTCTCTGACAGCAGATGAAAAAGAAAAACAGAAACACCCTGGCTACTCCAGGACACAAAGCGGCATGTATCATTATGTTTCTGATACTTACTTGTCACAGAAAAGAATTGAAGTCAAACAATTATACAGTACTGTGCAGATGCCTTCAGCTATTAGTATTTCACCAAAAAAAATGGTTTTAAGTCAGTTACTTCTATCTTTTGCTTTAGTGTGTCAGTAGGAAATGTCAGTTTACATTTTCAGACATTCCTTTTGCCATTAAATGTAATAATCCGATATCTGATCTCAGTCTGTCTGCAATGACATGAAGAAACAGAAAAAACTGAGACAGACTAAATCCAGAAGAACTGTGGCAAAGGAAGAAACCTTCCTGCAAAGCTACCTGAAAAACTATGCACAAGTGTACACAGGACAAAAGCCGTTTTAAAAGCAAAAGGATGGTCACACCAAATATTGATTTGATTTAGTTAATAGAAGTTAATTGATAATAAAATCTATTTATGACATTATTTTTGAAAGCATTTTTGCAGCATTTTTACACAAGTGCCTACAACTTTTCACAGTGCTGTAGCTTTGCAGGTAGGTTTTTTTCTTCGCTGAGTGTCTTGGAAAACGTTGCCACAGTTCTTCTGGATTTAGTCTGTCTCAGTTTTTTCTGTTTCTTCATGTCATTGCAGACGAATTGGATGATGGTGAGAAATGGCTGGCTTAAAACCTTTTTTTGTTGTTACTGTTGGCTAAAATACTAATGGCCTAAGACTTCTGCACAGTACTGTACATGTTTTCGTGTAAACATGTGAACATCAGTTCAGATTTTTGTATTTGCTATAGTGTTTATCAGGCAACACCAAATACAACTGTCCAATGACAAGATAGCAGGGTCTAGATTCAATGTCTGCTATTCACCAAGCTGTGGTTTTATGTAACAGCAGTGATTAAGCAATTCGAACAAAAGTTTCACATTGAAAATTCATCTTGGTGTGAACAGGCCTTCAGTGTAATAAATTAATACATTTCATGTATTAAGTACACATTTGTATCCAAAGCAACAACTACAGATGAGGAATAACAAAAGCTATTTATCATAAGAAAACAATATTTAAGGTTTCAGTGTAGTTCACACAGTGAAGCAGGCAAAATAGTTGTCCAGTATCAACAGTGTAATAATGCATGAGACACCACTCATACAGAAGTTACTTTCAAACCAAGCAGGTTTCTGTTGGTCAACACCACAAATTTGAATGACCAACTTGAACACAAGCTGAATTTGAATGTGTTTATTATTATAATTGACATGTCTTCAATGTTATGTCATACAACTTGTCTATATTTTTCCACCAGCAGCACCTACATAACAACATGTCATGCAAAATGTCTGCTTGTTTGCGCTTCATAGTCAATGGTAAACAGCGTAAAAGTTGAATTTTTTTTTACTTTAAGCATGTTACAAAATTAGATGGGGATGGTGGAAATATGAATTAGCCATACGCAACAGCCTTTAGGGCCTTCACTATCCTGCTGTAAAAAAAAAAAAATCAGAAAAAAAATGTAAAAGGAAAAGAAGATAATTTGATGAATTTCTATTTGAACTGTGACACTTGAAACCCTCACCTCAGTTCCTCCTGAAGTAAAAATAATGTCTGCTGCTTTTCCACCAACCATCCTGGCAATAGTGTCTCTGGAATGGTAAATGATGTCTCTGGCTTTCAGACCTAAGATCAGAAGAAAACAATATGAGATACTGTTTCCAAAAATAATAATAACTTACTCACCATCATGTCATTCCAAACCTGTTTCACTTTCTTCTGTGGAACATAAAATACTATTTATTGTATTTTAAGAATCTTATATTTGAAGTTTGTTTTCCCCATACAATGGAAGTCAGTGGCGTCACTGTTGTTTGCATCCCACCCTTCTTCAAAATATATATATTTTTTGTGTTCCACAAAAAAAAAAATACATGCATACCGTTTTAGAAGGACATGATGAAGATGAATAAATGATGAGAAAATTTTCATTTTTGGGTGAACTATGCCTTTAAATGTGACATGTTAGAAGTCTGCCAAACATCTATCTTTGAGAGCCTCATACCTGGTAGGTAATTACTGCTGGGATTTCCCCACGCTTCAGTTAAAGCATCAGTAACAACCCTGACCACCTCTGGATCGACTGGTGTGGTAGCGTTGTAATCCATATATATTCTGCAGCAGACAAAGCTGTTTTACAAACTACATTCTGGAGCATGTGGCGGATCAAATCCGAATGACTTCCTGTCCAGTCTAGGACTGATATGACATATTCATTACCTGTCTGGCCCATCAGCCACATCATGATGATGCAGGTCCGACCCAAAATGATGTGTTAAGGTTCCCCATAAATTATGACCCAGGATGACAGGGGGATCAGTCTTTTCAGCCATTATCTAGATTACACTGGTAGATAAAAAAAAATAAAAATACTGTACAACAGTCTAAACACATGCGGGGTACATAAAAACATGCATTAAATTTATGACCATTAATGTCAATAACTATAACGCACGAGTCATGTCACAAGGCTTCCCGGGTCACACATATGTTTTCAGGTTTGCTATTTTCTTAAACAAGCCAAAGTTGTTAATACAGGATTGACATTTAATCTAAATGAAGTTTAATGCAACATAATGTGGCAATAAAATCGTGCAAGCCATTTAACGTTACTACACTTTGATTCATAAAGGTCAGATTACTGTAAATGTTGTTACGAGCATATCATAACAACTACAACACTTAAACTCTCTTTACAGTCGCTTTACAAGAACCATCGCTGAGATAAACACTGATAAACCTGATGAACCTATGTAATTATACTATTAATTTACTGACCTCTCTTACTCTTCAGCGTATGGACTGTCAATGATTCACGGTTCACAGTGATAATGTGGCAGCGTCACGCTCTACTTTGAACCGGAAGCGTACATGTTTTCAGACGGTCTGTACTACAGCGAGGGCTTGGTTCATAGATTATTAATCAGATCGTGCTGACATTGCTTGGTAAACGTCTTAAAGGCATCCAGTCATGTGCTAGTTGTAATATTAATGAGCCAAGCCTTCAGTTTTGAGCGATTCCTAATTCGCTGGCCGAACATCACGTCACGTTATTCATATTCATGAGCTAAGTCTTCTTCGTGATAGTAGCGTTCGTAAATTTTTGAGTAGCTTGAGACCGGATGGAATATGGCAAGCCGATTTAACATTTAATCTATAAACCGTACTACTATCTATTTTCATGCTACTACTTATTTTTTAGATACTAGTATCTATTCCATTAAGACCCTTTTATAGTCTTTGGTAGTACTTATTCATTAGCTACTCGTGCTTATTCTTTAGGCCACATGTCACGTCACGACTTTATTCATTATTCATAATGTACTAGTGTTTATTCTTTAGGTAATTTGTGTCTTTTGTAAAGTTACTAGTACGTATTCATTAGATACTAGCTCTTATTTATTAGATACTAGCAGTGGCGGAGCTAGGGTGGGGCTTGACAGGGCTATAGCCCCATCAGAAACTTGCTTAGCCCCCGCACAGCGCCCCCAAGGATTTCCTAATGATGTTCCTGTTTTTTGGTGTCACTTTCATTAACATTGAAAAATAAACATTACAAATCTTTAAAAAGTGCCTAATATGTTGATATTATGGGGGAGGGGTCAAGCAACACAAGCAAGCAACGCGCAAACTGTGCGCAAGAGTTATGCCGATGAACGTCAGTCAATTCACTATAGAGAAAGTGAAAGTAAAAAAACGGAAGGAGCTTTCTAACGTTGTACTAATGGCGCATATTCTCTGAGACAACGAGAGACATGCTTCAACATATGCTGATAACGGTATATAAATAATCTTAAATTATTCCCTTAATATTTCTCTTGTGGCCCGTATAGTGAAAAACATGAGAGTAAACGTATTTCGCCTTAAACAGGTTGTTTTGAAAATCGGTGCACGAAATAAAGCTGCTCTTAATTTTCATTGATGACTGCAGTGTTAATAATTTTAATTATAGGCCTATAATCCATTATATAAATTAATAGACCTCTTTTAAAAAACTTTTTAAAAACATTTTCAATTAGTAGTAAGCTAATAGCCTATACTTTAATTATCCTCACAGCGCGTCATGTGGTGATGCGCTATGAAATTATTGCGGGGCAATAATTTCATGTAATTTAATAATAAAAGTAACCTAATAATAAGGCCTAATAATAATAAGAAAGTAACAGGCCCACATTAATTGGAAATGCTAAATCCTCTTAATATTGCCAATTTTTGATGCTTTTGACAATTTCTCTGGCTATCGTCGACACATGATACACAACGCAACTCAGCATGGGGAGGTTATCGCGGGGCCCCCCCGCAGTGCATGCCCGTCCGCTATGCCACTGTATGGAAATAGTTGTATGAATTGTCGGCACTTTATCCATTGTAAAAAATGGTTAGAATTTACCATACCATGTTTTCCTGACAGTTGGCATTGAGAGTGACTGACACCTGATGGTCAGAAAAAAATGACTAAATAGATATGTGTAAAAAATAAATAAATAAATCAAATAAAACAATAAAAAAAGAAAAAAAAATCCCTACTTTCTCTCTTTTCTATGTGCGTTCATAAATTGTATTAATTTGTAAGTGTCATATTTGGCAGTTGGCATTAGAAGTTATATTACTAATAACAGTGGCATATGAGAAGTTTAATAACACAGAATTTTTTTATTTTTTTTTTAATTAGCCTTTTTCGAAGCTGCTGTATATAAAAAACACAAGGTGGCTGAATTTGCATGCTATTTAGATTGCTGAAGCTTATAGGCATTCATTACTTTCACTCAATTTAATTAGTTTTTTAGCACCCCTTCTGAACTGTTAAGCCCCCCTTGGCACCCCCATCAAAACCATCCCGGAGCTGCCACTGGATACTAGTACTTATTCCAGTAGTGACTAGTATTCAATTGTACTTGTTAAGAAAAAAATAGAATTAGTACTTATTTTTAGATACTACAGTAGTAACTTTTTAGACCAAAGATGTCCTGAACTTAATAGATAGTACTTTTTAAATTTGCATTTCTGATCAGTTTGCTAATAGTATGTTGAATATTAATTAACCAACTACATATGAGAAAGAGAGATTAGACAGGAAACATGAATAGCCCACGGATATGGAAACTAGAAGATTATGAGAAGGGAGGAGAAAGAACGTGCAACATGGCAAAGGTAGCTAAATTTGCAGAAAATGCAGCTATGTTGAAAGATCATTAAGCCAGGGAAATTTTGGAAGCGCACAGCTGATGGCCATGATTCGTCATTATTAAACTTGAGAAGAAACCTTCGTTTATTGTAAGGAATTATAAATACTCTCCAACAAGGCACAATCTCTTGAGGCGGATGTTGTGGTTGTTTGGCTGGTGTGCACAAACTGTTTTTTGGGTCTAACTACCAATAATCAAATCAAAAAAGTTTTTTTTTTTTTTATATTGTCAAAACAATGAATATCATATATCATATTAAACATATCTTTCCTTATGTTTTCATGGTAACCAATAAGCAAGATCATCGAGCCAACATACAAAGCCAGCTAGGCCTATAACAATCAGTTTAATTCAGTATATTAATGTATTGTATTATCATGGAAGGTTGAGAGGTACTCATGTTTATGTAATGATCTGTTTGAATGAAGATATCTCCAAATACATTCCCACTAGTTCTTTATGAAGTTAAAGATATCTTCAATTGAACAGGTAGTCGTTATTCTGTTTTTGATTTCATCTATTAATTTCTGACTAGTATTTATTCCAATAGTGATATTAGTAAACATTCATTAGATACTATACTTATTTAGTAGATACTGGTACTTATTCAGTAGATACTAGTACCTATTTAATAGATATTAGTAGTTATTCATAAGGTACTAGTAATTATTTATTAGATACTAGTATCTTTTGTAATTATTGCTAGTAAGAATTCTTATCTTACTAGTTATGGAAAGCCGATTTAACATTTATGCATCTTTTAAAGAGGTACTAGTACGAATCTAAAGAATATACTAGTACCCAATGGAAAAGATACTAGTAGCTAAAGATTAAGTACTAGTAGCATGAAAATAGATACTAGTAAGTTTTTTTTAAGGATTAAATGTTAAAATGGCAGTAAGGACAGGGTCATGGAGCTACTGGGATTTTACACTTATTTTGTATTAAACTGATGTGAATATATGTTTATTTTAGTTTAACTCTCTTTGAAGTTTGTATTTATAGTTTTTATGGAAGCTTGTAATGTAGTCTAATAAAAGCTTGCATGTAATAAAAAATAAAAGTTGCTTTCGTTGACAAAAGTCAGCCCTTAAAAGAGGTATAAACAGGAATTCTGATTAAAAAAAAAAATTTAATGAAATTCTGAGATAACAATAGGAACTCAAAGAAAAAAACCCAGAAGCAATTCTGAGGAGGGAAAAAACCCCTCTGCATTTCTAGATATTAGCTCATAATTGTGATATATGAACTACAATTGCTAGAAATAAAGTCAGAATTCTGAAATAAAAATTACCTATTTAATTTTTTTCTATTCCATGGTGGAAACAGGCTGGACCATTTTACATATAAAATCAAGGATACATTCAGCTTGAGTTTTCCTAGTTTTCGCATGCATAAAATAATGGCTTGAATCAATAAACACACAAAAAAAGTAATTAATAGTGTTGCATAAGTTCCACATTTATTTCATATCTGACAATGTGTTGAGTGTACACAAACATTTAACTCATAATTCCAACACTCAGAAAGAGACATCGAACTACTGCCCATTGAAGATGGTACAAACCAGTTACAACTGCATATTACACCATTCACAGCAATCATGTTTATATACAAGGCAAGTAAAACTGAGAGAGAAAAAAAAGAGAGAAAATATGCTTATGAATGGAGTCTGTGCATAAGAGGAGAATGGAAGCACACAAATATTTGGTGTCGATTATGAGAACTGATTAATTCTTTCATTTTGGGAGATGGTAAAACGAATGCAACGTTTTTAGCCTTGAAACATGATAATGTAATGTTTTATGTAAATTGCTTGTAGAAATGGTACAGGACAGGCTATAACATAAAGAATGCCATTCAGCTCTCTGCATTACTTTCTACAAGGTGCACAGACAAAAACCAAGACAATTCACTTTTACTTGTATGTACTCAAACTGAACGTGATTCTTTTAACTTTATGTTTTGTAATAATTTAGTTGTCACTCATCTTGAAAATGCACCTGCTATTACTATTAACATATGCACTTGTTTCTAAAAGTAGTGGCATTGCTTATATTTTACTCTGAACTGGTTGTGAAAGTGAAGTGACATATACATACAGAAATTGCAAAAATGTGCATTAACTATTTTTCAAAAACAGAGAACCTTCAGGGATTGAGAATCCTTTTAGGATATGTTTTCTGCTTTTACAGAGAAGCAGAACCCCGCTTTTTCATAGAACCAGAAACCCACTTTTCAGCTTTCAACATCCTAAATAACAATATTAGTAACTGAATTTTTGGAATTAGAAATGCAGATCTTTGAGGTTTACTCATAGACAGATCAAGGCTTTCAATAGAGGTTAGTTCAGTGTCAGATTCTTCCTGTACTAAGCATGTGCTGAAGGTTGGCTGGCCTCAGTCATGCTGATATGCCTGAATCTTGCTGCCCTGGAGGCACCTCAGGTGTGCAAATAGTTGGAACTGCGCTCTAAACATGGAAAAGGCTTGTGTTAGGTAACCTGCAGGATCATCCAGTTATCCCAAACCAAATTATAAACTGCCTGGTCTAACTATAATAAGCAATGAAAGTGCATGCATGGTTTCTGCTCCAGTGACTGCCTAAGTCCAGGTCCACAGAACTCCACCTTCTAACAAACGCTTTTGCACTACAAAGTGTCTAAATCATGTGTCTGCAAATATTGTGTTACATGTCTTAGCCTGTTGGATATTTTATATGATTACAATCATTGAAAAAAACAAGGTTCGGAACAATGACAGCAGCGCTTGTTTCTGGAGTCCATGATGATTTTTTTTTTTTTCTGGCTGAATACATAGGTTTGTTTTGTTCATTTTTAAGTAAAGTCAGTTGAGAAAAAAAATATTTACACCATCTAGATATGCTTAGAAATCTCAAAACCTAGTCATATGTAGGGCATGTGCAATATGCAAACTAAAAATGAAACTAACTAAAAACAAACTAACTAAAGCTACTTTTGCCTGCGCACAGAGAGGAAGCATGGTACAGATGAGTGGGCCTGAAAGTGAACATTCACCCTGTTAAAGAAGCGCACAGGGATTAAGATGATGGAAATTGTAAAACAAAAACAGAGTAGATGATGCAAGAGGCACAAAATCATCACTCTCTGGGGTGCATGTAGAAAATTCCACCAGTACATTTGATTTATTCTAACAGACTTCTAAACCTTCCATTTTCCAAGACTGACCACTGCACAAACACTCGTTTAGGATTCTGGGCAATGAAGATGAGTTTTCTCTACCTGATCAATCTTGCAAAAAAACATTTTTGTTTTCTTAACTAAAACAAGTGAACGTATCTAGTAGAAGTAAAATTCAAGTAATCTACATGTAATAGCAGCTATCCCAGCTATTCACTTCTAACCTCTTCCCCAAATGCTTTTCATTGTGTCGGGGGAAATGAGAGCAGTGCAGTCAGTAAAAGGGAGGTTAGTCAACTCATGATAAAAAAAGTGCCATATGCAGAAATTGCACTGTACTTCTTTAAAAATATTACAGTCTTTGTCAATAAATACATACTGAAATAAATAAAAACGTTAAATAAATACCTAACTAGATAAAAATAAATTAGACAGATATAAGATCATTTGGGGATACCGATAATTTTTTATATAAAATATTAGACTGGATTATGATACATTTTAGATTAATCTACTGACCAGTACTCCAACAAAAATAGGCCAAATCTTTATAATGGTTCTCATATAGAGATTTGAGAATGCAACCATTTTCCATTGCCAATTTTTTTCTCATGCATCCTGGTTATTTTGAAAACTTTATGCATTTCAAGGCCATACAAGGGAAACATTATAAAGGTATATGAGTATTTATGATGGGTTGTACTGTGTCCAAGAACTGCACTTAAAGAGAGTAAGAGCGTAATATGATGTGATTCATCTACTCCTTGCTAAGAACTGCTTATCATTGATCAATCCTGTCTTCCATAGCCAAGAAATGAACAAACATATGGTCTGCTGACTTAAATACTGACCAGTTTTATCGTTTTAAACCCATAGACTTGCAATTCAAGAGTAACACAGTAAGGCCATGTGATCCATTTTCCCACAAACCCAAGTTATGGACGCCACTCTTCACAGTAACAAATTCAGATGTGTTTGCATGAGCTGACAGCTTCAGAATTAGAAATTCCCATCACCAGCTTTCTAAAATGTTGCTGAAGACTACATAAGCATACTACTATCTCTACCCCAATAAAGTAGTTAGCCTGTTCTCTTGGCGCTATAAGTTGAATATTTAGGCCACTGTAGATGCACAACAAAGGGGCCTTTAAGATACAGGTGCACAGTCGGTGCTAGTGTGGGCAGGTGCAGGTACACACATGTAGGAAACAGAGGGTCAGAGAGTTGATTAAGCACAGAAACTGAGGGATCTATCAGTAGATCTATTTACAAGGTTAGTCCTTTGTGTTTTTTGTCCTCAAAGTGTTGTACAGTAGGTATACATGTAGTGGGCTCAAAATCTCATCTGCCCGGCTCTTCTTCTGGACAGTTTAGACCTGATGGGAAGGAGAAAGTCGAATAAATATTGGTATGACAGGTCTTTTAAAGTGAACGGCTTAGATATCTGCTTTACTGTATACCTGATAGATCCAGCAAGCAGAGGGTTAAAGGCATACAGCCAGTCATGCATCTCTTTGTCATTACTGGCTTGAAGGAGTATCCCACGATGCTCTGTGCATACCGCAAATGTGTAGGGGGTCTGCAGTTAAGACAGAATTTAATTAGTTCAGCCTATAAACAGTCGATTTACTCAAAATGTGTTGCCTTGGAAGAGACTGAAATAAAATAAAATAATACAAATGTAAAAAGTTTCACTTTCAGCATGGCCTCCTGGTATTCAAACATGTTCTAAAATAAATAAATAAATAATTGTAGATGTTTCACCTTCAGCATGGCCTGCTGGTCTTCGCTGTACTCCACTTGTGCCGAGGACAGGTTAAGAATGGCCCTTTCCACTGTGTCTCTCTCTGTGTTGTAGATGTAGACATAAGGCCGGCGTACCACCACATACCTCTTAACCCAGTCATTACTGTGGGGCTCCAGGAACTGCAAATAACCTTTCTTTGACACAATTGGGCTGCAACGATAAAATAGGGTACAGGTTAGAGTTAACTTCCAAAGATGCAAATTCCTTAAATCTCAGAAACTGAATTTCATATTCAGGCAAATGTAACATAAAAAGGAATTGCTCATCCTCTGAAAAATAAACAATTTGTACGATCTGTACAATTTTATTTATTTATTTTTTTCACCTGACACGGATTTCCTGAATGTCTGGCACAAAAGTGTGGGATCTTGATTTGGACTCTTGAGGAGACTTCTTGCCCTCTGTTTCAGTGTCAGGGATGGGGCTGACAGCACGAGATCGAGGTGTTGGGGGTCTGCACATATGAGCAATAAGAATATAGATGGAACTTTTAGTTAGATAGGGTTTCATTTGGAGCCATTTTTGGCAGACATATTTAAAGCTGCAGTCCGTAACTTTTATTTATTGATCCGAAATCAATATTTATGTTAAAACACTTTCTCCTATCCCACCTTAATATACAGAAACACCTTTAATGTAAGGCATTCATAGGTTGATTCTCAAACTAGCCTGACACATTAGCTTCATCAAAAGCATGAATTTAGGACAGGACTATCTGTTAGTCTGATCAATAGCAGACTAAGGAATGATCAGAAAATCTTTTTAAAAACTGTTGTTTTTGCACTTCCATTTGGTTTGTGTTGCAGATATCACCATTAAAACGTTTTGTTTATTCTTTTAAAACTCAAAACGAAACAGCAGTCACTAAGTACTGACCTGAGTTCAGTGTTGTGGCCGTAGCGTCCCTCCACGAGTGAGGGGCATGTGGAGGACGGGGTGAGGGTGCTTTCTGCACACACTGAGGCCGAGTCTTTCAAAAGAGTTACTGACATCTCGCTTAACTACAAAACATCACAACAGGGTAATCAGTCATTAAACACAGAACACAAACACACACCTTCACAAGTTTCTGCAGCAATAGTAAAAATGCTTATATGTCTTACATTTTCAGAAACCTAAAGGTTTTTAAAGCAGTATATTCTCAGCAGTCTGAGCTCTTAAAATCATCTTATTGTAGCAGTGATAGCTGACAGAAAGAAAAAGGGTAAAATATTCTTAATAGCATTTTCACCTTGCTCTCGCTGGCGCTAACATACACATGGCTGTAGTCCCTGTTAAAGGTGTGGTTAAGCAAACGCAAACACTGTTGGGACAAACAGAAAAGGGAATGTTAAATTCAATGACAAGAACCTTTTTCTCATGATTTCCTTAAGTGATCACTGTATATGAATTATTTTGAACATTACAGCAATTTATAGTATTAGATAAAACTATAATTACCACTATAAAAGTGGTTTGGTGACAATGGTGATACGAGCTGTAAAAATGTATTTCATCTTTTATAAGACCATTCTATTCTATTCTATTCTATTCATATATTTAATTTCATACAATATATAAAATTATAATTTTATAACATTAAATTCTAAATATAACAAAATTCAATAACTATTAAATTTGTAAAAATATTGTAATAGTAAATATATAAAATATATTAAATTATATATAAAGTAATAATAACAATAATAATGTGTGTGTGTGTACCTGGTATTTATCACGTTATGGGGACCAAATGTCCCCACAAGGATAGTAA